AAACGGGGAAAATGGGGGTGATGGAATGGGTCCCGTCAGGCTGGGGAGGGGGTGGCCAGCAGGCAGTGTGGGCGATGGGGTGTGTACAACTGTCAGGGCTGGGATGTGAGCTTGCTCAGACTGGTGTGCGTCAGCCCCTCCGTGCCAAGGCTGAAAATTAATAATAATAAAAGCTTTGCATGACTGGAAATACTATGGGTTGTCTAAACAGAAAAGGCACATGGCTCTGCGGCCCTGCAAGCGCAGAGCTCCCATCTGCCTCAGTTTCCCCTGCGGATGATGGGGGATGTGGATCCCCTTCTCTCCTTTCCCCGTGGGGCTCAGACCGGGGGGGGGGGGGGGGCAGGACTGGCCACCGGCTGTGCCTGGCTCTGGGGCAGGAGCTGCTGGGACCATCCTGATTTCGGCTGGCTTGTGGCTCTTGCTGGCTCCTCACGCCGTGTCACGTCTCTGGCAAAACCCGAGCGGGAAGGGGTTTACGGCTGCGGGTGGGAAGCTGAGGCGCTGCGGTGGGGTTCGCGTTCCTCCACTGCATCTGCAGCGGGAGCCAGCACTGAGGGCGAGCGGCTCCCAGGCGTTTTCCATTCCCTAACCCTTCCCTGGCTGCCACTGCGCCCGGACTTGGGCACCCGACGCATGAGGCTCTTCTCCAGGGGAGATTTCCCTGTAACTTTAATGCCCAAAGCAGCAGCTGTGCTCAAAACAGGGGTTATTTCTTGGTTTCCTCTCTTCTCTTTTAAACACCTGGCTGGGGCAGAGGTCAGCTGCCTTTTAGCTGCATTTCTTACTTGGGAGCAAATGCAGCTTGTTCTTTCCAGCCTGGCTCTGTGTCTCTCCATCTGTGCTGGTGAAGCTTCATGTCCTGGTCCCTGGGGGTTTTGCTCCCTGGTTCAAGCAGCACGAGATGCTCAGGGATGGATGGAGAGGCCAAGCTGTGCCTGGGAAGAAGGGACATACCTGCCTGGGAGGGATGTGGGTGGCTGCCACCTCCTCCTCTCGCCTCCCTCCTTTGCTGTGTGCTGGGATCCCTGTGCTGGGGTGACCAAAGTGACACAAACGCCCTCCCCGGCCAAGCACCGAGCTGAACCCACATGTCCTTGCGCCTCCAGAGTGTTTGGGGCTGGGGGCTGTTTTGTTCAAGGGGGGTTTTAAGCACCTTCCCCATGTCCCCTCAGCGGCTATGCTCACGGAGCGTGTCCCCAGGTGTTTCCAGAGGTTTGCTGGAGATGGAAATGCGGGCATGGAGCAGGCATGCTCTGCCCCAGCCCCACGTGCAGCTGGAGGGGGAGGAAACGCATCATGCAGCAACTCAGCAACGTGAGAGCAGGATCTATGCATTACAAAGCAACATACTTTTCCCCTTCGCTCACTTCCCCCTCCAGAGCTTTGCTCAGAGCCAAGTGTTTCTCCCAGGCTTGTGGTGACGCTCTCCCAGCCTTCTGACTTTGGGGGGGGGGAGGCTGCTGTGTGCTCCCCCTGGGCAGAGGAGGCTGCAGCCTGGGGCTGGGATGGGCAGGAGCCTGTCCCTGGCTCCCAGTGAGATTTGGGGGAAGCTGAGTTTAATTTTCCAGGCTGGTGGCCACCCAACACCAGTGGCAGCACCCTGCGGCAGGGGAGGAGTGCGGAGCCCCCGGGGGAGCCGTGGCTCCCCTGAAGGGCAGCACAGCATCCTCCGACCGTGGTCCCAGGGGAATGGGTCCATCCCAAACCATCATTTTGGGGGGACCTCTGGGTTCCCCTTGTTTCTGCTCAGTGCCCCCTTCCTATGACACCGGTGGCTGATAGAGAGCACGGCTGGCTTGTGAGGTTTTGCTGCCAAACTCCTGAGATCTGATGTTTTGCATAAAGCACACACTGCTCTGACCAAGCGGCCGCAGGGGCAGCTCAGGTTTCCTGCTGCTTTTTTTTTTTTTTTTTTTTCTTTTCCTTCCCCCCCTTTTCTGAAATTAAATTTTTTAGCTCTCCAAAGGGAGTTTTAAGATCTGGTCATCAGAAAGAACTGCTGTACTGTAAATCATCTTGTACAGCACTGAGCACAGCAGAGGCTCGGCTTGGGACGGAGTGGCTGATGCTGGGATAACATAAAGAATAAGCATCTCCCTCTGGCCAAATAAACATTTTAAGTTGCTGTTCCTGAGGAGCCCAGGCTGTGGTGTGGGGAAGGCGAGCCTGGTTTGAGGATGGTTCTTTGCTTGGTGGTGTTTGAGAAACCTCCTGCACTGCTTTGCTTTGCAAAATTCCCCTTCTGGAAACTCCCTGGGGCTGGGACCACCAGCTCTTGGCATGCTGCGATGTCCCCCAGGGCTGTCCCCCCACCCCGGTGTTGCCCCTGGCCAGGATGAAATGGAGACGCTGCTGTAGCCCAAGCTGCGAACAGCCGGGATGGCTGCGCTGCTGGAAATCAAAGTGATGAGGTTCAGGGTGGAATCTTCTGCCAGGGGAAGGGGATGTGTATTTTAACTGTACCTGACGCGAGCCACTCGCACGCAGGAGAACCGTGATGTGGTGCATGAGGGGTCTGCCTGGGGGAGGATGAGGGTGCTCACTGTGTCTAACATATCCCAGTTGGAGACGATGGAGCCACCAGTTATAATGTGGGGCTTTTTTTGCTCACGTCCTCCCCTTAAATCCTCTGCTGCCTCTTGTCCATGTTTCCTCATTTGGGGTGTCTGCATGGCTGTTGCCAACTCCCCGCCGGGATGGCTGGAGTGACCTGGGCATGGCTGGGTGCCGAATCCTCGCTGTGCCTGACAGGCTGGTGGGATGCAGGCTCCGGGCTCGCTGGGGACCACATTCCTTCGTGTTTACCCACTTGACGGCTGTCCTTCGTGTTGCCCTTGGTCAAGACAGGCTGTTCTCACAGCCCTGGCTCTGCCTCCTGGTGCTTTCACGCTCAAACATTTCCTCTCCTACCTCCGCCAGACCAAAGTGGTATTTCTGTTACAAACCTCTGCAGAACAAACAGGCCATGGCTGGGAAAGGGGATAAACCAAAGGGACGTGGCATCAGGGGACCAGGGATGATCGGGATGCTGATAGCCCTGCATCAGGGGCACTGAAACTGGGATGTCCCAAGCCAAAAAAAAAGCTGTGAGAGCAGGTTTGCTCCAGGCCACCCTCCATCATCCATTTCATTTGCAAGAGAGGGGCCAGATTTTGCATTAGACGCAGAATAAGCTGAACGCGTGGTGCCCAGAGCCACGTTCAGGGCTGCAGCCTGTTGCATCTTAAAAATTTAAAAGAACATCTTTGAAGGTGGATTTGAAACTTGGACACTGAAAGAAATTCCTGCAGGAAGAAAAATCAACAAACAAAGTCCCTTGGCTGAGAGCAAAATTTATACTCACCAGATTTTCTGAAGGTTTTCGTGCTTCCCAGCAATGGGAGCTGTGTTAGCAGCTTCACAGGTCGGATGGCATGGTGGATAAGGTCTAGGGTGTGAAACCTTTATATGTTGGCATTGCAGGGAACCTTCTGAGCAAGCAATTGCCCCATTCCTCAATTTTCCTCTTTCAGTGCCCAGCCAAGTATCTGTTAGTTAGCAGGGAAAAAACCCCATGAAACATGTCCCCATGGATTTAGGCACTTTTGACTAGTTTTAAAGTAATTGGCATAAATCTCCAACCAGCGTATTCTTTCCCTATTGATTCTGATCCTTCTCCAGCTGGCAAACACATGTCTCCATTTTGACCCTTTGTTTAAACGATGGGAAATACCGATGTGGTTTCTCTTCATTCCTTTTCCCAGCTTGCACTCAATCTACCTGCTGGTTTTTAGGCACCCAAGTGCCCCAGCTCGCTGCAGGGTGAGGGCTCTGCCCTCAGACCATCCTGCTCCCGACGGTCAGCAAGCAGCACTCACCAGCAATACCCCAGCTGCGGGGTAAGGGGAAGGGCAGCGTGTTGGCAACAAATATATTTAAGGGTTGGGGGGAGCCTGGGGCAAAGTGGGGGAGTCCAGAGGGTGGGAACTTTGGGGGAAACTCTGATTTTGGCTGTTTGAACCCGGTGTTGGTAGCCACTGTCAGCTGAGTGTGAGAGTGCAGGATTGGACCCTCCTGGATGGTTGCCAGTAGGGTTTGGACTGGATTTACAATGAGCCAAAGCAGCTCAAGTTTCCTGGCCCCCGCTGCAGCTCGGCTTGGCTGGAGAAAGGACTGCTCACGGGGAGGGAGAGGACCCCCCTGAACCCCACATCCCAAGGATGCCTGGGATGGGGGTGCCTTGAGAAATGAGACCTCCACGGCTGCTGTGCCCCCCCGAGACTCCTCGCTCATGCCTGAGCTGTGAATATGCAACAGGTCCCAGTCTGCCTCTGAGCAACTTGGAGGAGAAATGTCCCCCACTGAGCATCCCCGAATGTGGGATTCCCCAGGGGTCCCTTGGCCGTGTCCCCTTGGTGCACAGCGGTTTTCCAGCCCAGGAGCTGGCTGAGGCTCCATACAAAACCCTGTGGCCAGCCCAGCTGCAGGGCACCACCGCAGCTCCCTTCCCTTCTCTTTATTAAGTGCCATCAGGATTTAAATTAAAGCTTATCGCCACCTGGGAGCGAATGAACCCTGCATCTTGTTTTACAGTGCCATCTGCCAGGCAGGAGCAGAGACCCCAGCACGGGGCTGGCTCCCTTCAGCAGGGGTGGGGGGCAGTTGGAAGTTGCTCTGTGCAGGCGGGGGACCCGGCTGGGACAGCCCTGGGGACAGGCTGGTGACACACGCTGAGCCCCTGCGCTCAGCACCCCCGTCGCCATCCAGCCGTCTCGCTGCAAAGCACCATCCCGAAACACACGCTCCTGGAAAACAGGGGCCGTGGCAAGGGAAGGGCTTATTTAAATTATTAATTAGCTTTGTTTTTAAACACGGGCTCTGAGCAGCCTCCGCAGCAGAAGGAATTGTTATTAAACGCCAGCCCTCTGGCAGGCAGGACATGTGTGCGCAGCGGAGCCCGCAGCGCTTGGCTGCCAGATAAAGACGTTATTGTTGTCATCGTGCCTCGGTCCCAGCCCTCCGCCTCCTGCGCTCCCACCCACCCTCGGCCAGCAGCTCCCAGGAACAAAACCCCCGTGCTCGGCCGAGGCTCACTCGTGGCGGAGCCGCGGTGCCGAGAGGAGGAGGAGGAGGAGGAGGAGGAGGGAGACAGCCAGAGAGAAACTTGTCTTGGGGATTAATAAGAGGCAGGAGGAGGGAGAGGTGCACACAGGTAAGCTGTGGGCAGGTGCTTTCCCCCAGGCTCTTCTTGCCTTGCCTGACCCTCCAACCCAGGACGCTGCACTGGCCCACGATGCTCCTGCCCTCTCCAGCCTCTCCCTTACATGCAAACCAGCATCTGCTTTTCCTATTTTGTTCTCTCCTCTTGCTGGTTTTTCTGTTCTTCAGCAGCTGGAGGCTTTGTTCCTTCCCTTTTCTCCTGTTGCAAGAGTTTTTCTCGGCATGGGGCAGGCTGGGGTGGAGGGGGGGGATCTTGGGGCTGCAAAGTCAGAGGAAAGTCCCGTGTGCGATAGCGTTGCAGCTACTGCCAGGCGCTTTCTGGGGGGGTGAGCAAGGACCCCCTCGTGTCCCCCCCACCCCGTCCTGTGCTCTCACACCCTCCCAGCCCCACGAATGCTAGGCTCTGGCTCTGCAGCAGAGCTGGGGGGGCTGCACAGCTCAAGCCATGCCCAGGACAGTCCCGTGCCTTGGAAAGCAGCTGGGAAAGCGTGCAAGGAGGGGGGAGAGGCTGAGAGGGGAGCAGACACCTCCGGAGCCAGGACTGCTACCAGGGAGGCTCTGGTAACATCGGGTCACCGTGTCTTCCTTGTGCTGAGCACAGGGTCCAACAGACGGGCTGGGGAAACGGCTCGGGGTGGAGGGGGGGTGGGAAAGCTGTGGGGTCCTGCTCCCATGCTGGAGGGGGGAGCAGGGAGCTTCCCTGCCCTGTGGAGGGGACCAGCATCACGCCGCTTTGAGAGCGAGATGGGAGAGAGCAGCCCAACAGCACCTCAGCGCTTCAGCGAGCTGGTTTTCTGCCCAAAATGTAGGTGGTAAAGCCCTTCCCTCCTGCCCGGCGGGCAGAGCCATGCCTGCATCACACAGACCCTTCCCAGGGCACGTAACACCACTTTTGCTGCCTCGATCACTGAGATTTGAGCCAGCTCGGCTCCGGGCAGGCTGTTTCCGTGGGGAGAGCTGCCGTGTGGGTCCTGTTTGGAGCCGGCTCTTTGTTTCTGCAGGAGATGATGGGAGGAAGCAGCAGGGCAGCGATGTCCGCTGAAATCCTGGGGAAAGGGTTTTTCTCACACATCATCCCAAACCCACCCTGCCCTGTCTGTTTGAGGGTTTTAGGAAAAGCATCGACAGGGCAGAAAGTGGAAATTCATCCCCTTGGCAGCTGAATGCAAAGCATGTTGTACATGAGGGCTTGGAAACTTTCCTGGGAGTCTGAGAGCGGAGCCCTGCCTTATGTGGTGCTCAGCCGACAGTGTCCGGGAAGCACCCTTTCCTCGGCCAGCCCTGGACAGGCTGCAAGGAGCAGAAATTCAGGGTGCTGGGTGTCCCTGCTCCCCTGGGGAGGGGGGGTGTGAGGGGCTGAGTGTTTTCACTTGGGAAGAGATAAGAGTACAGCTGTGGGAGGTTTTCTCTGCCCTCTGGAAGGGGCTGCGGGGAGGGATGAGGCAACAGCAGCTGATAAGGCATCAGAGCAGTTTTCCCACCCCTAGAGCTTGGGGGGGGACGACACCAAGGTGAGGTGTCTGCTTGGAGGGGAGTGGGGTGTGCGTGGGGGGCAAGCTCAGGGGCCAGGCTGCAGTTGCTTTGGCAACATTTTCTCCCACGATTTGCTTTTGTCTGTGTCTAGCCAATTCCACCGTGTGTGGCAGAGAGGTCTGCGGGCGGGCTGAGCCGGGAGCAGCCCTGGCAAGGGTCGGGACATGCAGCGAGGGAGGAGGAGGGAGGAATTGCTGACATGGAGAAGGCAGCGGAAAGGTGTTTTCTGCCAGGGCTGCCTTCCCACGGACCCTGCTGCGGGAGGAGGTTGCTGTGAACGCGACAAGCCTTTCACAATGAGTCTGGTGACTGTGGTACAGTGAGGAAACACTCCTGGCATGCAGAGGGCCGCGGGAGCCAGGCATATTGTCATTCCCTGTGTCTTGCAGTCCTCAGGCTGAGCCCAAAAGTGTTGCTTGTGAACCCAGGACCATGTCTGAACTGCTCTCCAGCAGGGTCTTCTGAGACACCCATCCCCTGCATGGACGCAGCACTATCCCTGCAAGAAGAAACGCAGCGGGGGCCCCGGCGATGTGCCGGCTCCGGCCAGGAACGCTGCCTGCGGCTCGGCTTCTCGCTGGGAAAGTGCTGGGAAATGGCGAGAAGAGCCGGTTGTTGCATCAGGGCTCTGCTCCCCGGGGGACCCTGGGAATGCCTGGGTGACAGCGTGTCTGCCCCCGCCTCCGAGGACAGGCTTGCACTGTATTTAGCCCTTTTCCACCATTGCCAGCTCTGGATAAAGAGCTGCCTGTTTCGGTTACAGCTGATCAGACTCAAACTCTTGTGGAGACTTGAATGGGCTGTTGAGGTGGTTGGGCAGGAGGGAAGCTGACGGGGGAGCTTTGCTGGCTCCTTTTGGTTATTTTTAGCTCGCCCTCCTCATTCTGCTCCAAAATCCAGGTTCCCAGGCTGGGTGGGGGCATCTTCCAGCCTGGGGGCTGGAGGTATGGTGGGAATTGGGGGTCCCAGTGGGAAAGCTGTGAAGGGAGCTGGCAGGGTTATGGGCAGTGGGCTGGAAAGGATGCCTGGTCCAGCCATCTAGGTTTTTCCCTGTCCTCTCGAACTTAAAAGCTCCTTTTATCCCTCCCAGCCCCTCCACGGGAGGAGATACATCGGTGATAGCCGTGCAGAGCCAGACGCTGCTCTCTGCATGTCTAACTGCTGCAAGGGGTGGTGGGGAGGGCAGGAGGCACCCAAGGGAGAGCTTTGGGACTTCTGCCTGTGGCAAATCCCCTCATGACCTTTACATAGCTCACTCTTGCCCCAGAGGTTGTAATTTTTGCCTGCCCTTGGCACCGGGCGCTGGGCTGGCAGGGAGCGCTGCTTGGGAGCTGTGAGATGCAGCGCAGATTAACTATTTGGAAAGCAAACACGAATGGCATTTGGGGCTGGAATTTCCAGCTGTTGTGCCGAATTTTTGTCAATTGTAATGGGATGACTGAAGGAGCAGCTGTCTCTTTCTGGGAGAAACCCTGGGCTGGCATCTGTTGGGTGCCTTGGTCTTGTACCCAGGCTGAGCTGGTTGGCCCAGCCCACAGCTCAGGAGGTGTCCAAACTGTTTTTGGCCATGAATCAAGCCTTTTCTTCACACCAGGCAGTTGGTTTCCTGAATGCGTTCATTGCTTCATGATTTAACTTTATTCCAGTTCCATGGATTCCTTGTGGGTACCCAGGATCTGAGCTGTCCTGTCTGTCGGGGAGCGGTGAAAAAGGTCGAGTGGAGACGTTTGCAGCGCAGGCGCTGTGCCATGGCTCTGGCCACGGATTCAGCAGCCGGTGCTCGTGCAGAATCAGGGTGTGGGATTTTGAAATCTGGCTTCTTGCATTCACGCCAGTAAATTCAACTGCGTGAAACTGGATGGAGAACAGACTGCTGACTGTGTCGGGTTCCAGGGAGAGCTGGCTTTGAACCTTCCAGCGTGTTGGAGGCAATTGTAGAGCTCGCGGTGGCCTCAGGTTTGTTGCATCCCTGTTATTCTGGATGCAGGGCGGTTGCAGGGACCGCTGGTTTCCTGCAGATTGTTTGGAAGTGGGTCCCGCTTTCCTGGGGCGGGCTGGGGAGTGGTGGGCAGAGCCCCCACGGGGGAGCTGCAGCTTTGCAGGGGGACCAGCAGCAGAGAAGTGTGGTGGCATTGCTGTCTCTGCCCGGCTGGGATGGGGACAGGAGCTGTGGCAGTCCCCTTTGGGGAAGTGGCAGCGGGTTACAGGCAGTACAGCGGGTAAAAATCTGCCTCCTGGCACTTTCTTTCTGTGCTGACAAATGCCACACGATGCTGCTGCTCTCCAGCTTGAATTTCTTTCTCGCCGACTATTTCTGCTATACGCCGAGTCCCTAAACATCTGCAGTGTTAAAGCTTCGTGTGAAGGGGATGGTGCAGGCTCTGTGGGGCCAGGTTGTTCCTAGAAGGGCTGAGAGCTCACCCAGCTCACCACCACCAACGGGGTGACAGCTCTGCCCTGTCCCCCGCCCTCCCTGTGACATTGCCCAGGGTGGCTGCCGGGTGGCCCGAGCTGAGCATCGCCCTGTGAGTGGAGGGAGCCAAACACCCAGATCACGGCGTGTACTGGCTGGAATATCGGGTCCCAGTTGCCTCCTCCCCTCTGCAACGGGCCAAGTGCAGACCGCAGCCCCCGCCAGTCCCCCTGTGCCTTGTGGGTGTTAAAATCCAGGTCTGAGTTTTGGAACAGAGGCAAAAATCCCATGAAAAGGTCTGGGACAAGGTGGGGGGAGAGCCCCATGCGGGGCGGGACGTGGCCGGGAAAGGAGCAGGGTGCTGCGGAGCCAGGGAGGGGACTGCACGTAGTGCAGCTCCCTGTCACGATTTTGCTCGTTCTCTGCAGCCTGCCATTGAATCTGAACTCTTACAACACAGAAGCACGCACGTACATCCCCAAAGGGGACTTACTGCAGCACTGCTGAGCTGAATATCTGGCAGCATTCGGGCCCCGTTGCTCTTCCTCTGTTCCTCCCTTCCCCCAGCAAGATGCCAGAGCTCTGATTGAAAACAGCAGGCATGTGAGGCTTGTAGGGTTAAACAGAGCCAGATGGGAACTGAGTGAGACAAAAAGGAAAGTAACAGGCTGGGCCTGGAGGGGGGGCGAGAACAGGATCTTTTCTTGGAGAAAGTCAATTACTTGGAGCCCCAGGAATGCGTGGGATCGCTTCAAAGGGAGCCGGGCTGGCACAGCCCTGGGAGCAGCGACCCATCGAGGGGCCTTTAGGGCATCCCTGGGTGGGATACGGACCCCCCCCGTGGGAAGCTATAAGCAAAAAGGGGTTGGTGTGGCAGGGGGTTACCCCAGAAGTGCTGGTCTGTGCTGCTTGCTGGTCAGATGAGGGCTGGGGATATTTCCCTGCCACTGCCCCAAAGGCGATGTGCCCGGCTCAGCCCTGCCAGTTTGCTGCTCCCGCTGGGCACACCGACCTGAGCAGGCTTGGCTGTGCCCGTGGAACCCTTGGCCCTGGCCCCTTTGGCCACGACGGCAGCACTGCGAACCAGCGAGCTGCAAGCCCCACTCCATCGTGTTACTCCATCGTGTTGCGTGGGAGAGAGCAACGAGCCGGGAGAGCCTGATTTCTCTCCAGCATCAGCATCGCCGGCTCCAGCATCACCAAAGGCTTCTCCAGTCCCAGCAGCACTGGCTCCCACAGAAGACACTCCATTTCCCCAGGAGATCCATCTTCCTCTGAGTCTCCTCGTCTTCCTCCCTGTCTCATATCACTCAGTTCTCTTTCCCACCCTGCCTCTGCCGAGCTCCTCCATCTGCCTCACCGCGCATCCAGCTCGGCTCTGTTCCTGCTGGGGTGACAAATGCCGCTGGGAAAAGCCTGGCAAGCACCCGGAGGTATCTGCCCAGGAAACCCACAGCCTGGTCTGCTCCAGCTGGCCCTGGGGAGTGTGGGAGCATCCAAAGCACCTTCTGCATGGGGCTTTGGGGAGCTTGTCTGCAACAAGCTGGATCCCTCCATCCTCCAAGGCATCAGCTGGAGAGCTACCAGCAAGAGTCTTGCAAGGATGATTGCTGCTGTTCCAAGCAGCAGCAGGGAGGGCAGAGATGGGACAGGCAGCCTTCATGGGCTTGCTAATGACCCAGAGAAGAGGGAGAGGTGGTTATGTGTAAGGTGTTGGGCTGGTATCCAGGAGAAACTTGGGCTAGGGACAAGAAGAGACCTCACCAGATCCCTCCAGATCTCCCACTTCTACTGGAACACTCCCCAAATAACCAACCCAGCCCAGTACCCTGCAGTGGGACTGGAGGTGATGGTTCAGTTATTTGGGCAGCACAGGGAGATGTATAGTCAAACACCTTCAGTATTGCCCATGTGCAGTCTTGCAAATGCCTTGTATTGCCCATGTGCAGTCTTGCAAATGCCTTTTTTCTCACACAGCCTTGAAAATGGGCTGTCCTGCATTAAAGCCTTGTCCCTGAAGCACAGGGCCATCCATCTTTGCTGCCCCGTTAACTGCCGCAGGCCTCCCAATGCTGTCGCTAAGCCAATTTGCTACTGAATCATTGATTTTTTGGCTCAAGTGCAAAATTAAGCCTAATCCATCAAGGTCTCTGAAGAGGCAATCCATCCTTCAGGGAGAAGGCATAGTGGTGTTGGGGCTCCTGGAGGGCCAGGCTCCGCAGGGGAGTGCTGGGGATGGCATGTGAAAAAACCCCAAACCAAATTAAAAAAACCCAACCCCCTCACCCCCTCACCCATGGCATAAAGCTGAGCCAGAGAGAGGGGATCTCAGTGACTCATGCTCTAGAGAGGGGTTGGATTTAAAGATAACTTCCAAGGAAAAAGAGAGAAAATAGCAGGTTACTGGCAGGGATGTGGGGTAAATTCCTGCCTGCCAATGATGGAGGAGATGGGAGATGATGCAGTACCTAAATCAGGCACTTCCTAACCCACCTCTTCTTGTTGCATCCTGCAGGGAAACATCTGGACCATGAAGGTGGCCTTCAGATTGCTTCTCCCACTTGTTCTTGTGCTGATCTCAGAGGTGAGCGGGCAGCGGAGGAAGCCTCCCCGGAAACCCACCCGCCCGCCTCCCGAGTTCATCGAGCCCGTTGAGCCCACAGAGCTGCCTCCACCCTTGCCGCCAGGTCCCCCCTCCATCTTTCCCGACTGCCCCCGAGAATGCTACTGCCCCCCAGACTTCCCCTCTGCCCTCTACTGTGACAGCCGCAACCTGCGGAAGGTCCCCATCATCCCGTCCCGCATCCACTACCTCTACCTCCAGAACAACTTCATCGACGACCTCCCGGAGGAGTCCTTCAGGAATGCCACGGAGCTGAAATGGGTCAACCTAGACAACAATCGCATCCGGAAGGTGGACAGGCGGGTCCTGGAGAAGCTGGAAAACCTCATCTTCCTCTACATGGAGAAGAACCAGCTCAAGGAGGTGCCTTCCTTCCTGCCGCCCAACCTGGAGCAACTGCGTTTGAGCAGGAACCAGATCTCCAAGATCCCTGCTGGGGTCTTCAACAAGCTGGAGAACCTGGTGCTCTTGGATCTACACCACAACAAGCTAAGCGATGGGGTCTTCAACAAAAACACATTCAAGGGACTCAAGAACCTCATGCAACTCAACCTTGCCCATAACATCCTGAGGAAAATGCCCCCTGGGGTGCCCAGTGCCATCCACCAGCTCTTCCTGGACAGGAACAACATTGAGGACATCCCCAGTGACTACTTCAAGGAGTTCCCCAACCTGGCATTCATCCGGCTCAACTACAACCAGATCTCTGACAAGGGGCTCCCCAAGAATTCCTTTAACCTCACCAACTTGCTGGTGTTGCACCTGGCCCACAACAAGCTCACCAACGTCCCTTTTATCAGCCCCAAGCTGGAGCACCTCTACCTGAATAACAACTCCATTGAAAGTGAGTTGCTCTGGCTGTGGGGGGCAGATGGGCTTGAGGATGGCAAGTGCTTTGCTGGAAAAGGTCATTTTTCACCCAGTGGGATGTGAAGTCTTCAAAGGGGGATGCATTGGTGAGAAGAGCTGGGGGCTCTTTGTAGTCAAACAAGTCCCTAAGGGGGATGGATCTGCATGTGGGGAAGAGTGGTCTGAGGATTAGGGTGGTAGCTGAAGAGCAGAGCTAAATTCCCCCTGGCGCTGCTGGGCTTTTTGTGTTCATTGTCATGGGCAGCTCTTTTTTGGGGCCACCTGCCATCTAAACAGTTACTTCTCCAGCAGGGCTCAGAAATAGAGATATTTAAAAAGGAGAGTCTGTGCACATATTTTAAGAACAGATGCCAAATACGCAGTCAAGATGGTTAGAAATAACCCAGCTTAGCTCTTGAGCTGAGCCTCACCGAGGAAGGAACAGGGAGAACAAGGCTGTGATGGAGGTTGTCTTGGCAAACCAACCGGGGCAGTTTCACACCATTCCAGGCAAAGCACTGCAATTTCTTGGGAGAGGTGCTGGCCCGTGAAATGTGTAAACATAGCTAGCACATTCGAGAAGAAGACAGACACCCATTCCTTGTCACCCCAGATGTTTCTGCTACTAGAGGTCCAGCAACCTGCTGTTCTTGCAAATCGCAGGGGAGCGAGAATGTGGCGGTCCTGCCAGAAACCCTCTGTGTGCACTGGGAAAAGCGTGCTGGGCTCTTGTATTTCTGGCTGCGGTGGGGTGCGTGGGGGCTGCAGGACCCACCCAGGGAATTACTCGCTTGTGAAGCAGCCGCCGGGTCCCCACAAGTGGTGTGACACAAGCGCTTCCTTGCTGCGGTGTTTATTGTGCAGTGATGGTGTGTGGCTTTGTACATAAGAGTGGCCCACTGCCAAAGAGGGGTTTTAAAATCACAGAGTAGCCTTAACAGGCTGCTTCTCACCCAAACAGAGCACTGAATGTCAGCCAGGGACGAGCAAGAAAGCTGCTCTTTGCAGGCAAGCACTCATAGTGTTATGGGATGTAACGCCAGGGACAAAACCCTCAAAAAGCCACGTCTCTTCTCTTGGGAAGTCACCAGAGTCAGTTCCCAGGGAATAATGACGCAGCGATGAGTGGCTGGTTCAAGAGCCAGTGAATCTGCATTTTGTTTAAACACCACTAAACTGGAGCCAAGGGGGACCTTGGGGCAAAGGTGGTGACTGCTGCTGGCTTCACACCCAACCAGTACCCAGGTCCTGCAAAGGCTTTCCGTGGAGAGATGATCACGTAGCCGTGGACAGCATGTCCTAGCTCTTTTTTTTGTCTATTTTACCCAGATTTTAGAAGGTTTCAGTCCCTGGAGCTGAATAATGACATAAGAATCCCCAGGTTTATTTTCCATAACGTAGGCCCTGGAGTGGGGAGAAACAAGTGGAAATCCAGAAGCGAGCAACAAGCCAGTTATCGACATTCTCTTCAGCATAACGGTGCTGGAGCATGTTTCCTTGATGTATTTTTTTAAAGGCTTAGGGCTGGCTTGGCAGGTTTCACGTTTGAAATAAACTCTTTTCTCTCTCAAATGACACTGCATCCCTCACCGTGGGGGGTGAACGAAAGCAAAATTTTCCTCTCACTGGGACTGTGTTGTCTTTTAGGGGAGCCTGGGGATTCTCCACCTCTGTAGCAAAGCAACCCCGTGTTGGGGTTCAGCAGGCAGGCAGGGAGGGGGGTCTCTAGCATCCCTCTCTGTTTTCCCTTTCCCCTAACCTGCATCCTGCTTTCCCCCTCCTCTCTGCAGAAATCAACGGGACGCAGATCTGCCCCACCTCGCTGGTGTCCATCCAGGACTTCTCCCCCTCTGACCTGGATAGCGTGCCTCGGCTCCGGTACCTGCGGCTGGACGGGAACCTCCTGAAACCCCCCATCCCCTTGGACCTCATGATGTGTTTCCGTCTCCTCCAGTCCGTGGTTTTCTAGCCCTGCCAGGCAGCACGCCCCTCCCAGGCCTTGGCTTTGCACAGAGACTCGACCCCCCGTCAGTGTTTGACACGTGGGACCCTCTTTGCCTCCTTCTCCCCCCGCTCACACCCCACCTCCATCCCTCTTGCCTTTCCCCCTTTCCTCCCCTGCAGTGGCCGTGGACACGTGTGGCATGTGCACCCTTGGGGACCACTGTCTGCAGGACAGCACCGCGTCGCAGCAGCCGTCCCAGGTCGCAGCATCAGCCCCGGGGTGGCTGCCACGCTCACCCCGGTTCCTTGCCCCTGGGCCCTGCCTTCTCTGCCCAAACCCAGCCCTGGAGCTGGCTCTGCCTCTCCCCTTCCACCCGGCAGAGTTTCAGGAGGTTGGATTCGGTCCAAGCCAAAAGCATCACCGGCTGGAGCTGACGAGGGAGCCCGGGGGCCACCTCACTGCAGGACTCGGGCCATATCATTGCTCCGGGTGGCTGCACCCGGAGAGAGCCCGCCGTGTCCCTGGGGAAAAATCCCCCGTGAGGCAGACGGAGCAGGGGGGATGCCCTGGGCTGGTGCAGGCGGCCACCCGGCACCCTCGGGGTGTCCCGGCGGCGGGTGGCCGGGTCTGGCGCTGACCGGCAGGACCGGCAACGACACCTCGTGGCCAGAGCCCCGGGGCGAGGGACACGCTCCTCCGGCCTGGGCCCTCCTGGGGGGTTCCGGGGGCCGAGGGGCTTATTCCCTTGGGGGGGGGGGGGGGGATGTGTGAATTTGCCAGGAGGGAGCGGGGAGGGTGTCACGCCACCCACCCTTCTCTGCAAGACCAGCCCCCTCCCCAGCTTCCATCCCCACCACCCCCCCCCCCCCCCGCAGCATCAATCCTCAGTGATGCAGCCCCACTCCCCAGCACCCTGCACCCTCCCGCCGTCCCGTGCTGCAGAGTTGCAGGGCTCAGCACCACGGCCGCATTCTGCTCCTTCCAGCTATACCCTGCCCTCCCCAAGGCAGGCAGGACCCAAAGCCTGTGGGACCGCGATGCCGGTGACCTGCCCTGGGCGTGGGACCCCCCCCCTCCGGGGGCAGAGCAGAGCCAGGTGCTTTGCAGCGATGCCAGCGGGACACTTACTCTCATATTTAGGTGCCTGGGGCCAGATGCTGACGTGGGTGTAAACCCCAGCTCTGCCGGGCTGGGTTGACCCACGAGATCTCCGCTCTGCTCTCACAGTCCCTCTGCCCTCCCGCCCTGACTCCCATCTCCTGGAAGTTTTTACTCTCTGTTGCTTTCTTGAACCGAACACACATGACTGGTTTTGCCTTTTTTGTTTGTTTGTTTTAGAAAAAAAATGAAAGAAAAAGAAAAGGGAAGAATTACTCTTTTGGAAAAGCTATTTTTTATTCCCCCTTCTCCCTGTTTTCACATGTATCACTTCCCTCTTTGATAGCTGTACCTGCATATATAGGGTGTCCGGGTTTAGGGGGGTTATACTTTTTTTATTCCTGATTCTCAGGATTTAGATTTAAGGCTGAGCATTAGAGGACAACAAAACCAAAAAACTGAAATGATCCTTAAAGCAATAAACCAAAGAAACCAGCTGTTACCTCCTTTGTGTTTGGCCACCAAAACTGACCCTTTTCTGGGGCGGGCACCGTGTCCCACCCCCCAGAAATGGGACAGGGATGCTCCCCACAGCCTGGGGGCACACCAGTGACCCTGCGAGTTGGGTGCTCCCCAATTCCCAGTGCTGGAAGGGTCATTAAACCCCTGTGCTAATTCAGGTTTGTTTTCTCATGATAAAAGTCTCTTCTCCAAATCTTCCTCCAGTGGGCTTTATTGGGTTCGACAGGTTTCAACCTTAAACCCGGAGACCCTATGTATATATTTATATATAATGTGTATATATACTGGTAGACTGTACAGATATATCTAGAGACATATGTAGTTCTCGACTGATTTCAGCTTAATGGTATTTTCACTCCTACTCTTCGCAGCAGTGAAAATAAAATGATTCACAAGGGACCCAGCGCCGCAGTTGGATCTGCCTCTCTCTGATCCATCTTCATCTTCCTCGCCGCGCGGGAGCCGCTGCTTCATTCAGGACCAGATTTTCTCTGTTGGGGCCAACAGTCGGAGCTCGAGAGACCCTGGGAGTCCCCACGGTGGGGGGCTCGGGGGTTGTTTGTGGTGTGCCCTCACTTGAACCGATGTTGGACTCAAGCACACCTGCAAAAACCGCCCCCCTGCTTTGAGCCGCAGTGGCCAGGCTTATGGAGCATGGGCCTGTCTTAACGAGCACCTTGGCTAATTAAGAGAGCCTGACCTTGGCTGTGGCTCCCAGGGCCGTGGCTGCAGCTGATGGTCGTTATTGTCCCTGCGAGCTGGGCTGGGAGAAGCCGATGGCTGTGTGTGCTGTGTGTCGGGGCAGGGTGTGTGAATTTGGGCTGAGCTGCCCCCACGTCACCTTCGTGCTCCCAAGGAAGCCGGACAAACATCCCCAGGGTGAGTTTGCCCCGCAGGAGCAGCATGGAGGAGCTTCAGGGCGTGCACAGGGGCAGCTGAGGCGGGGAGACATCTCCCACCCGTGGCAAAGAGCTCGGATCCATCCCCAGGGCTGCGGTTGTGCGGGGTGGGCGCGCGTGTTTTCACACGAGCGGAACGGGTGTAGGCAGCGGCTTCTCCTTCTGCCCATCGCCGCAGCTTCAGAAAAATCTCCTCTCGCTGCTGCTCTCCCCACGTGAATCATGAGCGGAGAGGGAGGACGGCTGTGGGCGTGGGTGCGAACGCATGGGCTGCGGCGTGGGGCTGCTCACGGGAGCGTGCGCGCTGGCAGGAGGGGGTGCGTGTGCGCGTGTGTGTGTGCAGAGCGGGCGCAGGCATCGAGCCCCCCTTATGTTTTTGTGCTGGAGAACAAAATCTCTGTATTTTGTAACCGGGGTGTGAATCATGCACTCCTGGGTGTGCATGCACTCGCTGCCCACCCCCCCCCCCCCAGGCGACTCAGCCCTTGTCCCCCGGGGGGAGCTGAGCGCTGCAAAAGTAGCTGGGCTCCTTTCTGCTCTCTGTAAACTGTGCCACCTTGAAGTGGGAGCTGGGCTGATGGCGTGGGAAGCTCCCCCCTCACCGTGTGTATTGTGGGGTCATGGGGAAGGCTGGAAACCCTTTGTTAGTGGGGGGGCTGAGTGGGGCTGCTGGGTGAGTCTCAAAGGGGGCTCCTCAGCATGGTGGGTGCTGATGTTCCCAGTGCTGGGGAGGGGGGCTGCAGGCCCACTGGGGCTGGCTACAGCGAGAGGCAATTTGGAGCAGGATGAGGTACTGCTCAAATCAAGCCCCCTTGCAGCTGGTGAACCCCCCCACACACACACTTGTGGGTGCTTGAGCAGGGCCCTCCCCTGCAGGGAGGGTTTGCACCCACCCTTCGGGCGATGCCGTGAGTGCCAGCGCTCGCTGAGCTGCTGCTGCCTCTGGGGACAAGGGAAGAAGTGGGCACGAGGACGGACACCAGCTACTTCTCTAGGGCAGCAAAACAGCTGCCCTGGGGGGGTGGGGGTGAGGGGGGGGGATAAGGGGGGGGGTGTCCTTGCTGTCCTGGGGGACCCACTGTCTTGGGGGACCCTGCTGCCCTGCAGACCCTCACCAGTCCTGGTTTTTGCTTTGCAGCAGTTTCCCTCCCATGCTGGGCTGCCAGGCAGGAGCTCCCCCCCCCCCCCAAATTTCCCCCCAGGCTGGGGCAGAATTTGCCATCTGAAGGTCAGGTCCCCTTCAGTCGTGCTAAACCAAAGCCCCCCACTCCCCAGGGGGGGACACGACTCGGCAGCCGACCCTGGACAAGTGCCTGCAGCCCCTCCGAGGAGCCGAGGCACCGGGTCAGCTGTAATGTCGTCCCCCCCCCCAGCTGCCACATCGCTTCCATCACGGTGGCTGCCGAGCCGCCTAATGAGGGGCTTAACGAAGATTAGCCGCGGCCCTTTGCTCTGCTGCGTGCTGAGCAGGGCTGGGGCTGCCCTGGCAGGGGGGACGCCGTGGGTTGGGGAGTACGGGGGCTGTGGGTGCGTGGATAAGGCCCACTGGTGGTGGTGGGGGGGGAGGGCTGCCAGGGTGTCCCCACCTGCCCAGCAAGCTCTGGCAGATGGGTGCGATGTCTCGGGTGGGTGAGCGCGTGGGCTGCGAGCTGCCTGCGAGAGAGAAGAACATTTTTACAGCAGTGGGTGGCTGTGTGTGCACAAGGTTGCCCGGCGCTGCGAGGAGCCCGTGGGGCTGCCGTGCACACCCTGCCCGTCCCGGGGTGTCCCAACCCTACAAGAAACATCCCCGGCAATGACATCCCCCCCCCAACACACACACACCCCCACCCCCCTGCACAAAGGATGAAGCAGGGCCGTGCCCCCTGCCCCGAGTTGAGCCCCACAAGCAGCCACCCGACCCCAGAGAATGTGGGTGTGCACAGCGGGAGATGGGGGGGACATCTTCCCTTGGAGAGGGGAGCAGTGCTGCCCCCCCCCCCATCTGCACCACCTCCCTCTTCCCAAACCGCCCCCAAAGCAACAGAGCGATTGGCTCTGTGCCCCATGGAAGGCAAGGGGAGGTGGATGAGCCGATTATCACAAGCTATCTGCCTAGTGGGGTGGGCCTGTGCAGACCCTTAAATCCTGGGGAGCGGTGGGTCCCCCCCACACCCTCCCCAGGGCTGGGATGCTCTCTGGGCCCCAAGGTCCCACCCAGCCCAAAAGCCAGATCAGCAAGGGGGTCTGCGCCTGGTGCTTTGCCTTTTTGCATCCCTGGGGACGGCCACAGCTGGGAATTGTTCTCTGGCAAGACCTGGCCTGCTTGGGGTAGGGATGGAGCTGGCTCTGTCCCCTCTGCCCAGGGCTGTGTCCCCATGGGGACACCAGGGCAGGGAGCACAGCACAGTCCCCATCCTGTCCCCCACAGCCCCAGACACAAGCCTGAGCTGTTGGAAGACAGCTGCCATTGGGGCTGGCTTGCCCTTGGGGACAATATAAGGTCCCAGTGGGGGGCTGGCAGCTTGATTGGCCGCATCCTGCCTCTCCCCTCGGCAGCGGCCATGCCAGGCCCCTCTGTGCAGCCCCCCCCTCCTCTCCATGCATTAAAAGCCCAGCAGCCCTTCCCCAGCCAGTGCATCAGCCCACGGGAGCGGAACGGGGATCTCCCACGCCAAGGAGGAGAGGAAAGGGAGTACATCCATGCCTTTGGGCTGGGGTGAGCTGTGGGGTGGGAGGGTCGGCGTCTGGCAAGATGTGTGTGGGGCTCACTGCACTCGTAAATGTTTGATCTGTGGCAAACCGGCAGAAATTAGGGAGCAGCATCCTCAGTCCGGGGTGCAAAAACTCTGGGCTGGGTCGTTGCTTTTGCATTTAGATTGGGAGAGTCGCGTGGGAGGCTGATGGGTGCTGGGCCCCTCTGCCTGCTCTGCCGTGGGTGCTCACGTGGGCACACAACCCGGTGGGTGGGCGATGCTGCAGCACGGTGGGTGCTGGGGACCCATGCGTAGGGGTTGGCTTCGGGTGGGGGTGAGCTCCCTTTGGGAAGGGACCGCAGCGGGTTTGGGTGGGGGGCTGCCCAGGATGCAGAGCTGGGGGGTGTCCTCGTACAGGCAGCCCCTGTGCTCAGGGGTGAGTCACAGGGACCCTGTGGCCTCCGGTCACCCCGACACTGGTTTGCCCGGGATGCTGGAGGCTGAAAAACAGCACCTCAGGTTTTGGACCTGGGGTGACCCATGGGGAGAGCAGCAGTGCCAGGGCTCCTGGGGTCCTTCCTGCTGGGTTTATTGGGCCAGCAACCAGCTTCATCCACCGCCTCAAGGGGCCAGAGCAGGACTCTGGTCCCCTCATCACCTCCCACAACCCCGAACCTCCTCCTTGGGACTGGGAAAGCTGGGAATTGAGGGCAGCCCAGCACGGCAGTGGGGCCTCTCCTGCACAGCCGCCCAGCTGAGCGTGAAATGGGCTGAAAAGAAAAAGGATGGTGTTAATGTTCCCAGGGCCGGGGACAGAATCTGTTTGTCCCCCGCAGTGGCCGCAGTCCCCACCATGGCTGCAGCCTTCCCATCCCTCTTTGCTTACACTGCTTTGCAACCGTTTCAGGGCACCGGGCCCCATCCTGACCCGCATTGCTGGCTCTGTGGGAGCCCTGTGCTCCCTGGGGACTGCGGTCCCCAGCGCTGCCCTCAAAGCGGTGACCCTGGCCGGGTGCAGGATGCGGAGCCTGGTCTGGCTGGGCATCGCCAGCCTGTGTCTGGGGGCAGCTTGGGCTGTCCCAACCAAGGAGGAGGGGAGGAAGGCAGAGAAGCCAAAAGCTGATCTTATACTCTACGAAAACCTGGACCTGGACGACTACGACCTGACGTTGGACAACTACGGTGAGATCCTCGACCTGAACAACTATGAGGAGCTCTACGACTACGGTGACCTTGCTCCGAAGGTGAGGGGGGACACAGGACAGCACCCGGCATGCGGGGCAGGTCTTCCCTGGGTGAGAAAGGGGCTTGGTCCAAGGGACGGAGCTGGAGAACCAGCCTCTTGCACAAGGCTCCAAGCTCTGGTTGTTCTTCCACCGTTCTTGCTGGTGGCAGGAAAAGCTTTACCTGACCCCGACCTCCACCAGCGTCCTTGTCCCCTGTCAGCACCCGGCCAGAGCATCGCTGCAGGGAGCCAGGACATGAGGCTTCCTGCATCCCCCTGGGCAAATAGGGAGGGGGGTTTCTGAAGCCCTGATCTAGGAGAGCTGTCCGAGGAGGAGCTGGCTTTTCAATAAGACCTACCCAGTGCCCTTGACCCCCTGACCAGTGCCTCCTGTGCTGGAGGGGAGCGGGAGGACTCTCTCAGCCACCCCAGCCCCCATGCCCAGGCTGTGCTTGCAGATCGAGGTTGGCACGCTGGCTCCTCGCCCCAAGGACCCTGCGGCTCTCCCAGATCGGGGCATCACGGCTGAAATCCCAAAGCTGCAGCCTCCAACCACCGCAGGCCCCATCCGCCCAGCACCCGTCCCCGGGCAGGGTGAGTGCAGACCCCTGGGTGCACACACAAAGGTGCAACCAGAGGGATTTGGTCCCCATGGGATGCAGCCAGGGGGGGCAGGGCTGGTGCTCTGGAGAAAAAGGAGCAAATCCTTTTGCTACCAGCAGACAGCAGCAGTTATTTGCTCTGCCCCGGGTGTTGGGAGTGCGTCTTATCACACAGCAGGCAGGAGGGCTGCAGTGAGACATTTCTGGGAAATAAGAGCTCCAGCAAAGCAGCAACATTTTAATGAGCAGAGGCATTGCGACAGTCGGACAGAGTAGCAATTAGATTAGTGACAATTAAAATCCTGTAGCGAGGGATAAATATCTTTATTCATTTTCTGTCACTCTGGACTGGGACAAATTAAGTAGGAGGCAAAGGGAAATTGTTGCCTTGCTGCTTTGAACTCCCCCGCTAATGGATGCTGAGTTTTGTGGGTGCTGGGGGAGAGGGGAGAGAGCACATGTAGGGGGGACACATGGCTTTACCCCTCCTGCCGCCCCTGTCCATCTTGCCAGGACCCTCATGCAGCTGAGACAGATGTTTTGCTGGATGTAAAACTGTTTTCTTCTATTCCATTTCCTTCTGAGGAAAAAATAAGGGGGCCAAGTGAGCTCTGGGTGTAATACTGCTGTGCTTGGCAACCTTACATCTCCCCCTCTCCCATGGGAGGTATTTGGCCCTGAGCAATTTCATTTATTAGCAACTCTTTTGGCTGGGAGTTTCTGGCCCTTGACAAGATGCCCTGGGCTGTTTCGCTGATGAAGGTGCTGGGGCTGTGACAGCCCTGGGTGCTAAAGACTTTGTGCACCCACAGCGTGGGTGGGGGTGGGCATGGCCTCCCATCTCCGGGCATGCTGGGGTGCTTCGTGGGGGGACGGGGGAGCCGTGCCATGCCACGGGCTGCCTCTGCACCCCCAGGCCTGCCCAGCTGCCTGCTCTGCCTGTGCATCAGCACCTCCGTCTACTGCGACGACGTCGACCTGGAGCACATCCCGCCGCTGCCGCCGGAGACCACCTACCTCTACGCCCGCTTCAACCGCATCGGCACAGTCCGGGCCAGCGATTTCACAGGGCTGAGTATGTCGAGGCAAGGGAAGGGCCAGGCTCTGCAGTGGGGTGCAGGGGGAATAAGCAGTTCTGCATAGATCCCTGTTCATCTCCTCCTTCCTCTCCCCCCAGAGAAGCTGAAGCGAATAGACCTGACCAGCAATTTCATCTCCTGGGCGGATGCGGACGCCTTCCGCCTGCTCCCCAGCCTGCAGGAGCTCATCCTGCCCAAGAACAGGCTGACGGTGCTGCCCGAGCTGCCCAGCACCATCATCCGGCTGGATGCTCGTCTCAACAGGATCCCCAGCACCGGCCTCCGGCCCGAAGCTTTCCGGGTGGGGGAATCCAGGCTGGTTTTAGCCCAAACCTGCCATGCCAAGGGGGTAACGGGGATGGTGCAGAGGGCTGGAGTGGGGCTGGGAGCAGGGAGGTTCATCTCTCCCCTCTTCCAGCAGGACCTGAAGCAGCTGCAGTTTCTCCATCTGTCCGATAACCAGCTGGATTATATCCCAGTGCCCCTGCCCGAGAGCCTGCGGTCCCTGCACCTCCAGGTGAGATAAGCCTGGACCCAGGCTTGTCTGTACCTGAGCCTAGCAGAGCCCGTCACCACCACCTCCTCCCCCTCCTCCCCATCCCTTTGAATCTGATTTTGCCCTTTGCCTCCCTGGCCAGAACAATAACATCCAGACCATGCATGAGAACACATTCTGCAACAGCCAAGACCACAGCCAGATCCGCAGGGCGCTGGAGGACATCCGTCTCGACGGCAACCCCATCAACCTCAGCCTCTTCCCCAATGCCTATTTTTGCCTGCCCCGCCTGCCCACAGGCCGTTTCTTCTGAGCCCCCAGCGCTGGGAAACGAGGGTGAACGTTCCTGGACCCACCGTGCCCCCACCCCAGACCCCCTTGGAACCTGCTGCCCCATGGAAAACGTGAGGTTAAGGCAGATGCATTTAACCCCGGTGTGAGCTGAGCCTCTGTGTAGAGGTGAATGTGGTCCCAGGGCAAATGGAGCAAGGGATGGGCAGTTCTAATAAAATGAAGACTTTGAAAACGCATTCAGTGTCTTGTTCTCAATAGCAAGAGCAGCGGAAAGCCCTCTCCCAGCCCCAGCCCAGCAGCTGCTTTGTGAACAGTGCTGGTTTGCAAAGACAGGGCCTTCCCTGTATCCCGTTGCCTCCTCAATTCCTCCCCAGGGCCTTGGGAAGACCCCTCCATGTCTGCTTTCAGGGTTTCCTGGACAGGGAGCCGCATTGTTCCAGATAGGCAAAGCTTTGGCCCCATCAGGTCTGACCTGTGTGATCAGGCTGTCCCCTCAGCCCTCCCCAGGTCCATCCGGGGGGGTCTGTGTGGCTCCAGAGGAGTGTTGCACACCCCGCTGTCAGCTGTGGCCACAGCTGGGTTGTCCCCGTGTGCCCCAAAAGAAGATGTCACATAGGAAACCTCAGCACAGGGCAACGGGAGTCCTCCCTCACCTCACCGCAGAGCCGCTGCAGCCCCATTGCTCTGCAGGGACCCCCACCCCCCCGGGACTGGGAGCTGTCCTGGTACGAGGGTCTCCAGCATGAGCTCTGCCCGGAGGGACGGTGTCCCTGGGTTGGGGTCTGCTTCAGCTCCAGAGAAACCCTGGAGCAGCACCGGAGCCTGCGAGCCAAATGGCCCTGGGTCCAGCAGGAAAGAGTCGCTCAGAGGGTGTTAAAATCATCTCATATCATCCCAGCTTTCAGCACCCGAAAAGAGCTGCCCAGTGGTGAGATATTTTAAATATAATGTATTCATCCTCTATATTTTTATACACATGTAACAAACACGAATACCATGAGAGGGATGACACATCCCTGGAGAATCCAAAATCCTGAACTGAAACCAGGGAGCTCAGCCCACATCCTCCAGGCCCGGGGAGGCAAACTAAGGCGGCTGGAGAAAATCTTGCAAGAAGATCCAGCTTCTCATCTATGGGCTTGCTGAAAATGCCGCTGGGCACTCGTGCCCATGGTCCTACCTTGTTGGCACAGCATGGGCACGAGCGTGCCGGTGACACGGAGCACGTGTGTGTGCACCACCTCTCTCCCCTTGCCTTTCTTTTCCATGCAAAACCCAACTCAGACATGGATTATGTTGATCCAGAAGCCAGGGCCCTTGGTAAATGGGAGTGTGGAACCATTCCAGCCTTTCCTGTCAGGTTAGATCTAAAATGCCAGGATTTATTAATGCTGTTGTCATGTCATTCTTGAATCTGTCTGTCTATCCCCCTGTCTCTCCTCCTTCCCCACCCACCCTTCTGACACCTTGGCACCATTCTTTGCCCCGGGTGATCCCACCTGCTCCCGTGGGATGAAATATTGCTGCGAGCCAGGCTCGGCTGCAGCGGGATGGAGTTGGCCAACTTTTCCCAACAGCGAGCCCCGGCCCTTCGCGTTCGTCCCACTAGATGGCAAGACAGAGTGTTTGGAAATACCTGACCTTAACTTCAGACTGCAAACTCACTCTCTGCTGTTTACCTCTCCCTTGTGGGGTGGTTTTATCGACTCACGGACATGCTCACACAGCTGGGGAATAGCCCAGGTGCTCGATGTTGGCAGAGGAAGGATTAAAAGAAGCTGCAGAGGGGAAAAAAAGAAGGGTTTGCTCGTGGGGGAGGAGAGTGAGGTAGGTGGAGGGATGTTTCTGGGGGAGATGGGGCTGCTGGCTTCACAGGAACCAAACTTTTCCAAGAGCAATGGGGTGGATCTGGGGGGGCTTTGCTGGGGGAGAGTTGAGATTTAGTTGTGCTGTCTTGTCTTGTGTGGCTCTTGGGTCCCCTCAGACCCTTGGGGAGGAGGGAAAGGGCTGGGGCAGCAGAGCTTCTCCTTCCCCAAAGCCCTGGGGAGGGCTGGGCTGCGGCTGTGTTTGGGAGGGGGCTGCTGGGGGCTCAGCCCCACCGTTCTGCTGGTGCAGTTACTAACTGTGCTCGTCTGTCCTTGCTGCTGCTGTGGTGGGGGAAAGAAACCGGCTCCTGCCTTTGCAGAGTGGTGCAGGGAACAGCAGCCCCCTCCTGCTGCTGGCCCCTTGGCTCTCTCCCACCCTCCTGAAGTGCCACATCCCCTCCATGGGGCTGGATTGCTCCCCCTGAGCACCCCAGAGGGGTTGGTCAGATCCTGCCCTGGAGCAGAGCCTTCCCCAGGGCTGAAAACGGCAGCAGGCATTAAGAGGGGCTCTCCTGAGCCCTCCTGCCAGCGGGACAGCACTGCCCCAGTTCAGCCTGGCTTGGTAACGTGTCCGAGACCTGCCACCCCCTCTGTCACTCTTGCTGCCCACTGCCCCGTGTCCCTTAGGCTGCGGCCGGGCAGCTGGGAGTCCTGGCTCCTCTCCATCCCCTGATGTCTGCAGCTCTGCCCAGCTGATGCCTCGGCTCACGCCACTCCCGCGGGGCAGAGTCACCGCCTGCCCTCGGGAACCTGCCTGGATTTCTGCGGCGGAGGCTTTATAGGCTTGCACAACCCGTCCCATGCATATATGCATGTCAGGGACGGCGCATCTCTGCTGAGATACGTGTGCTGCTTCTGCCAGCTTGCCACGGGCACAGCCCGAGCCCAGCTAAGGGGGCCAGCAGGCAGCAGAGGAGCAAGCCCACCGCAGGGACGCAGGGCCAGGCGGCAGCAGGGGAGGGAGCGGAGCAGCCGGAAAGAGGAATTATCACAGGACCCGTGTTAGAAGCCGGGAGCTGGAGCCGTGCAAAGGCAAAGCATCTCTCTCTGATCTCGAGAGCATTTGCTGAGTAACAGCAGGAGCTGCAGGGCTTCAAAGCAGTCTGATGGGAAACGGCGGCAGCCCTGTTGCTGGAGACAGTTAAATGATGCAGGGCAGGGGGAGCACTGGGGAGCCGTCCCGGTTGGAAGGGATGAATATTCCCAGACTGTTTTGCTTTAGAGACGTTCAGGGAGCTGCGTTCCCCCTGGTACAGGGATGGACAGGGAGGAGAAGACTAACTGGCCACTAGTGTCCCTCCCCTCGCCCTCCCCGACTGGATCCATGGCTGCCTTCTCCTTGGGCACGCAGCAGGCTCTGCAGCAGCCGGGCAGAGGACTTGGATCCTGCCTGTCCCTCTCATTCCCCTCCATCCCTCCTCCCTTGCCCAGAGAACGTCTCGGTGTGTAATTCATGCAGTTCTCCTCCCTCCCTCTGCCGCTCAAGGTCACCTTCCTCGCCTGGGCTGGATTTTCACATATTGATTGCTTGGCTCTAACAGCCAACGTCTCGGTGAGCTCCCGATCTCACGCCAGCTCAGCATCTTGCCACTCTCTGGGAGAAGCATCTCCATATGGACCCCCCTCCTCCTCCATCCTGCCCTCCCCCTCCATGCTCTCCTCCCAGCCCTGGCCATACATCATTAACCGGCACCAAAACAGAGACGGGAAAGTCTTCAAGCCCCGGAGAGCAGCAGCCTTCTCCCTCCTCTGCCTCTGTCTCCTGGGGAGTGTGACATGAGCACGTTCCTTCCCTTGGGTTGATTTAGGAGGAGCTGGGACAGCGTGTGGCATCCTTGCAGGGACTCGGCATGCTGCTTTGCCTGTCTGTGAGCTGCCTCCATCCTCTTCTGCTTGAGCTTCCTCCTGCAGGTCCTCATCCCCCAATGGGAAATGAGCTCCTCTCCCATCGCTGTGTCCTGCTCCCCAGGTTTCTTCTCTGCTTTCCTCCCATCAGCATGACCAGGAGCAACCTGTGCCACGCTGAGCCATCTCCCTTGGCCACCACCTGAGGACAGAGCCACCCATTTCTGTCCTTTTGCAGCTTCTCAGCCAGGGCAGCACAGGAAGCTTACTGCAGGGTTGGGGGGGGGGGGGGGGGCAGGTCAGGAGCAGAGTGGTGGTGACTGGGGTGAGGGGTCTAAAGCAGGAATCAGAGCAGCAGGAGGAGGAGAATGGAGGCTCTTGGCTCTCCTGGCACCCAGGTGACCTGAGAAGAGGCCACAGAGATAACACAAGTCTCCCTGTTTGGGACAGCGGCCATGTCTGCCAGCTCTGTCCCACACCCGTGCCCAGGGCACGCAACCAGTGGATTTATTGGCCAAGTGCAAAATCAATGGCAGGATGGAAAAAGGCCACTGAACTGTGGATGCTGACAAGCTCCTGGCCTCCTCTGGGCTAGAAATCACTCTTAAACACTGTTGGGGAGGAAGCACTGTGGCCCAGCTTGCTGAGCGAGTGAGGCACGGATGATAACAGCTTTATTTATAGCACTTAACTGGCTGTTGGCTCAAGGCACCGATTTGTGCTTAGCATGCGATCATTTAGGGCGGCTGTTTGTGCAGCTCATGGCTGGAGCACTCGCACAGCCCCGCTGAAGCCCTCAGAGAGCTCCCACCACCCGGCATGGCAGCAGGACTTCGCCCGGGTTCGATGTGTCCCGCTCCTTGTCCCCAGCCCAGGCAGCCGGCCTGGGATCAGGCTCCCCTGGACTGACCAGAAACTGATTTTCCTGCTTATATTTATACAGCATCTCATCTGGAGAAATCCCGATCGGTGCTTTAGGGTCCGAGAGGTTGCACATCCCTAAAACTAATGGACTAATTAATAGCAGCTGCCTGGGGAGAGCTGTGTCACTGCTCAGTTTCCAGATCTGTCCCTTTCTTCTAAAGGATCTGGGTGCTGGGATTCATTAGATGGGAGCTGCGATGGCTCTGGAGATGAAAGCTCTGTCCATGAATTATCACTGGGGTGCAGACAGCTGCCTGGGCCACTTTAGGGAAACTCAACAATGGAAATAGAGGGGGGGGGGGGGGAACAAAAAAACAACAAAAAAGCCACAACTTCTTGGGCTTTTCCTCTCCCCATTTTCCACTTCACCACTGGAAAAAAAAGAGGAGGAAAAACACAGCAAAAGGAAGAGAAAGAAGAAAACGCATTCTTTCCCCCTTCACATCCTCCTCCCCTCAAATTGTGAATGTTTAGCATAAAAATAACCTATAGGAAATCAGCCCCCTTCCTGCAGCACACTGTGGGTCTCTGAAGGGCTGGGGGTGCCTGCAGCACCCCGGGGCTTTCCTGACTCTCCTCCTCCACCCCACTCCGGAGCAAGC